TTGTGCCCACCTACTTTGGCCCTCTGAAAATAACATGGGGAGCCCTGAAGGTTGTGCACCCGAGATATGTATCTTTTTAGTCCTTAAACCCCTTGTCAGAGGCCTGAAGCTACAAAAGAGCGCGCCTTTTTGGCAATGGGAACCTTCACTGTCCAAAACTTACTTTGGCTAGATAACAGGGCTAGTTGTAGAATTAAGCAGAATGCAATGGCTTCCTAGCGCGCCTTTTTGGCAATGGGAACCTTCACTGTCCAAAACTTACTTTGGCTAGATAACAGGGCTAGTTGTAGAATTAAGCAGAATGCAATGGCTTCCTATTAATTTAGCTCTTAATAAGGACAGCAGAGGATTATTTAAATCACTGTCATTTAAAGCACCGCTCACCTTAAACACAGGAAGAGATAGAGGCATTAGGGGGTCGTGTATCTCAGATGTTGAAAGGATTTGACTAGCCCTGGGTCTCAAGGATTTGGAGAGCTGATTGTGGAGGCATTTACTTTCCTGCCCCCAACAGCGAAATGAAAAGTATCGGGCCAGCCCTGGGAAAGGTATGTGAATTAGGAGGCATAATGCAGGTTGCATGCACTTGTCAGAGGAATGGACTACAAAGACACTAAATAATCTGCGAGCTGCTGCAGCTGCTTTTCATCGTATCAAAATCCAGCAGATTGCCAACGTTTATTGGTTTTACGGTGCCAGAAAATTACATTATAAAACCCCCAAGTTATGAAACCCATACAAAAAAGAGACTGAGATAAGGCTGGCCCTCAAAACTGAGTCAAACTTCCCTCACTGGGGTTGAACAGGGAAAAAAGAACTAAAAATACCGGAGCCTTGGAGACAGAGAGTGGACAAGTTACGGCTTCAACTCAAAAGTGAACCTTGATCCAAAATGAACTTGCCCCCAAGGAGGGCCACCACGGGCGCTGGTCCTTCCAGCCAGCAACACACATACACACATCAGCACAAGTCCACGAGTGATGGCAAAAAGGCCTTTAAAGTTGACCCTTGGTTTCTACGCTCAGCCTTCCCCAATGCGTGGATGCACAGAAGAGCGCATGGAACTTGCCTCCTGCCACGGAATTTGGACCACCTCCTTGCTTCTGTGCTCAGCAAACCCCAGAGCATCCCCAAGCCTCTGGTGGAGGCTGTCTTCCTGGCCCAGCAAGTTGGAGAGAGCTCCTAATTTCTTGCTTTTGCTGGCTGCCTCCAGGTAGAGAAACGGAGGCATGTGCCAAAGATCTGGCTGGGCCATGTCAGAAGGCCACTGAGCTCAGGGGAAAGAGAAAGGGCACAACAGCATCTGCCTCGGCTTCACTTCAAAACAAAATCTAAGGAAGAAGACACTCCACCCCTGCAGATGTTTCTCCAGCAGGCCACGAGGGTCAGACTTTGCGGGTGCCTCAGAAGCGGTCTGTTGAGGAAAAACGTCAGGAGCGCAGATGATCTGGCCCTTTCTCCTGTGCCAGGAGCTGTCGTTGTTGCAGAGGTTTCATTTCCTT